ACCCTATGCATATGTATTTAGATATTAGCAAGATAAAAATATAATTTTAATTTCATAAAATTAAAGATTTCTTTTTTTACTTTACAGGCGAAAAGGACTTCAGTTATGCTTGGGCGTTATACATTCTATTTCATATGCATTTTACTCAAGTGTTTGCATACAATTTCTATTGGACTTACGGTGACCTTGGCTATATGGCGTTATGTTGCTATAAGGTAATATTTTTCTGTGTCTATAAATACATACCTATGCTATGCAACCGCATGATAATTTAATTAAAAATTTTATGATTTCTTTTTTTGGGCTTGTCATAATAATTTAATAGATGTGATATTACTATTACATGACTTATAATTAATTTTTAATTTTTCTTGTGCTTTGATACATACGTCTTACGAATATGTAATTTAATACTCTTATAAACATATTTTTACGTAATTGAAACTCGTATTCAACAGTATTACATTTCTCAATAAAATAAAATGTTAAGGTTAGTAGTCGGAAGCTGAAATACGGAAAATTTTATCACATTACAAATTATAATCAGAGGTAAATAGATAGATAGATAGATAGATAGATATAGATAGATAGATAGATAGATAGATAGATAGATCGATAGATAGATAGATAGATAGGATAGATAGATAGATAGATAGATAGATAGATAGATAGATAGATAGATAGATAGATAGATAGATAGATAGATAGATAGATAGATAGATAGATAGATAAGTAGATAGATCGATAGCTAGCTAGCTAGATCGCTCGCTAGCTAGATCGATAGATGATAGATCTCGCTGCTCGCTAGCTCGCTCGCTCGCTAGCTCGCTAGTTCGCTCGCTCGCTTCGCTCGCTAGCTCGCTCTCCTCGCTCGCGCTCGCTCGCTCGCTCGCTCGCTCGCTCGCTCGCTCGCTCGCTCGCTCGCTCGCTCGCTCGTCGCTCGCTCGCTCGCTTCCTCGCTAGCTCGCTCGCTCGCTCGCTCGCTCGCTCGCTCGCTCGCTCGCTCGCCTCGCGCCTCGCTCGCTCTCGCTCGCTCCTCGCTGCTCGCTCGCTCGCTCGCTCGCTCGTCTCGCTCCTCGCTCGCTCGCTCCGTCGCTCGCTTCGCTCGCTCGCTCGCTCGCTCGCTCGCTCGCTCGCTCGCTCTCCTCGCTCGCTCGCTCGCTCGCTCGCTCGCTCTCTCTCTCGCTCGCCCTCGCCTCGCTCGCTCGCTCGCTCGCTCGCTCCTCTCTCGCTCGCTGCTCGCTCGCTCGCTCGCTCGCTCGCTCGCTCTCGCTCGCTCGCTCGCTCGCTCGCTCGCTCGCTCGCTCGCTCGCTCTCGCTCGCTCGCTCGCTCGCTCGCTCGCTGCTCCTCGCTCGCTCGCTCGCTCGCTCGCTCGCTCGCTCGCTCGCTCGCTCGCTCTCTCGCTCGCTCGCTCGCTCGCTCGCTCGCTCGCTCGCTCTCGCTCGCTCGCTCGCTGCGCTCGCTCGCTCCTCGCTCGCTCGCCTCGCTCGCTCGCTCGCTCGCTCGCTCGCTCGCTCGCTCGCTCGCTCGCTCGCTCGCTAGCTCGCTCGCTCGGCTCGCTCGCTCGCTCGCTCGCTCTCCTCGCTCGCTCGCTCGCTCGCTCGCTCGCTCGCTCGCTCGCCAGTCCGCTCGCTCGCTCGCTTCGCTCGCTCGCTCATCGCTCGCTCGCTCGCTCGGCTCGCTCGCTCAGCTCGCTACGCTCGCTCGCTCCTCGCTCGCCTCGCTCGCTGCTCGCTCGCTCGCTCGCTCGCTCGCTCGCTCGCTCGCTCGCTCGCTCGCTCGCTCGCTCGCGCGCTCGCTCGCTCGCTCGCTCGCCGCCTCGCTCGCTCGCTCGCTCGCTCGCTCGCTCGCTCGCTCGCTCGCTCGCTCGCTCGCTCGCTCGCTCGCTCGCTCGCTCGCTCGCTCCTCGCTCGCTCGCTCGCTCGCTCGCTCGCTCGCTCGCTCGCTCGCTCGCTCTGCTCGCTCGCTCGCTCGCTCGCTCGCTGCTCGCTCGCTCGCTCGCTCGCTCTGCCTTCCCCCCTTCCGTTTCCCTCTCTGGTGTCTTTTGTTGCTCAGTAGATTTTGGTTCACAAATCAATCATATATTCTCGATATTTAAATACGTATTTCGTTAATGATGGAAATAGCTGAGAATACTGAATACTGAGAAATACTGATCTTCACTGTTTTAAACTCTTGACTGTCCGATACTATCCGACTATATACTCTTACTTAAACCTATTTTCCTGTTAACATTCTCCGTTTTCCTTTTTATGTGTGAACATTTTTCTGGACGTTTCTTTAAATATTTTTATCAAGTAATTTAAGCACCAGACAAGAACTATTTCATTAAAACCCTTTAATGCTTTCTTTCTTTCTTTTGATCTGATTTTTTTTTTGCCATAATATGCACCGCAAAACAAACAAACGATCTGCTTGCAAATGTAGCCAACGTTTGTTTCTCTTATCACAATCTTGTTTTTACAGACATCCACACGGAGCTTGTGCTACTTTCCTCCTGTCCCATTGTAAGGAATCTATATTGTTTTCATTCATCATTTCGCCGATTGTTTGCTTTCCCACACTTTTTGTGTTTAAAGTGCGTAAACGAATGGTGGCTGACAGTGATGTGCCTCTCTATCATGTTGATGCCAATAAGGATACACAATTGTACAGGTATGTTAGTAAGACTTACACACTCATACATACATGCATAAGTACACATGCATGTATGTATATTCATTCTATACTCTGCTAACTGTTTAATAAAATATAAGTTGGGGAATTTACTTATGCTTTGCATATTGTTGTTGTTGCTAACAAAAAAAAAAAAAAACTTGAGCAACAGCTGTGAACCTTTTTCTAGACTTTTTTGTATACAATTCTTTTTGTTACCATTTTATTTATTTAATTATTTATGAACTTATTTTACTAAATCTAATACAACTACTTGCCTACTTATTTCCCAAAATGTCTGTGTTTATTTAAAATTGAAAAGTCATTTAGACTTTTGTAAGCTTCATTGTTGATTGAATTATTTATGCCTCAAACAAATTTATCAAATTTATTTTGCTATTGTATGTTCTTTTATTGAATATACAAAAAAAGAACAGCATGAGTTCATTTGATTCTTTCTTTAGAAATAGCAATTTCGTATTTATGCCCGCGGATATTAAAGTTCTTTTTTACAAGTTCATGGAAAATAAGTAAAAGATTGTGCGAAATCTTATATACTAACTAGAATTACTAAGTTTCAGTAATTTAAGAACAGCATGTGATTTCAGTAAAGTTTTCTTTCAAAAAAAGGGATTACATATTAATAATTTGTGAATATGGGATTTAGATGCTTGGCTTAGTATAAGACTTTTAGTCTAGTCTAGTCTAGTCTAGTCTATAGTCTAGTCCATAGTCTAATCTATAGTCTGCCTATAGTGTAGTCTATAGTCTAGTCCATAGTCTAATCTATAGTCTGCCTATAGTCTAGTCTATAGTCTAATCTAGTCTTGTCTATAGTCAGTCTATAGTCTAGTCTATAGTCTAGTCTATAGTCTAGTCTATAGTCTAGTCTATAGTCTAGTCTATAGTCTAGTCTATAGTCTAGTCTATAGTAGTCTATAGTCTAGTCTATAGTCTAGTCTATAGTCTAGTCTAGATAGTCTATAGTCTAGTCTATAGTCTAGTCTATAGTCTAGTCTATAGTCTAGTCTATGGTCTAGTCTATAGTCGTCTATAGTCTAGTCTATAGTCTCTATAGTCTAGTCTATAGTCTAGTCTATAGTCTAGTATATAGTCTAGTCTATAGTCTAGTCTATAGTCTAGTCTATAGTCTAGTCTATAGTCTAGTCTATAGTCTAGTCTATAGTCTAGTCTATAGTCTAGTCTATAGTCTAGTCTATAGTCTAGTCTATAGTCTAGTCTATAGTCTAGTCTATAGTCTAGTCTATAGTCTAGTCTATAGTCTAGTCTATAGTCTAGTCTATAGTCTAGTCTATAGTCTAGTCTATAGTCTAGTCTAGTCTATAGTCTAGTCTATAGTCTAGTCTATAGTCCTAGTCTATAGTCTAGTCTATAGTCTAGTCTATAGTCTAGTCTATAGTCTAGTCTATAGTCTAGTCTATAGTCTAGTCTATAGTCCTAGTCTATAGTCTATCGATAGTCTAGTCTATAGTCTAGTCTATAGTCTAGTCTATAGTCTAGTCTATAGTCTAGTCTATAGTCTAGTCTATTAGTCTAGTCTATAGTCTAGTCTATAGTCAGTCTATAGTCCTAGTCTATAGTCTAGTCTATAGTCTAGTCTATAGTCTAGTCTATAGTCCTAGTCTATAGTCTAGTACTATAGTCCTAGTCTATAGTCTAGTCTATAGTCTAGTCTATAGTCGAGTCTATAGTCTAGTCTATAGTCTAGACTATAGTCTAGTCTATAGTCTAGACTATAGTCCTAGGTCTATAGTCTAGTCTATAGTCTAGTCTATAGTCTAGTCTATAGTCTAGTGCTATAGTCTAGTCTATAGTCTAGTCTATAGTCTATCTATAGTCTAGTCTATAGTCTAGTCTATAGTCCTAGTCTATAGTCTAGTCTAGTCTAGTCTATAGTTCTAGTCTATAGTCTAGTCTATAGTCTAAGTCGAATAGTCAGTCATTATAGTCTAGTGCTAATAGTCTAGTCTATAGTCTAGTCTATAGTCTAGTTCTATAGTCTAGTCTATAGTCTAGTCTATAGTCTAGTCTAGAGTCTAGTCCTAGAGTCTAGTCTATAGTTCTATCTTAGTCTAGTCTATAGTCTAAGTCTATAGTCTAGTCTATAGTCTCAGTCTATAGTCTAGTCTAGTCTAGTCTAGATCTAGTGTTCTATAATTCTATCTAGTCTATAGTCGAGTCTAGTCTATAGTCTAGTCTAGTCTAGTTTATAGTCTAGTCTATAGTCTGGTCTATTGTCTAGTCCTATAGTCTAGTCTATAGTCTTGTCTATAGTCTTGTCTATAGTCTTGTCTATAGTCTAGTCTGGAGTCTAGTCTATAGTCTAGTCTATAGTCTAGTCTATAGTCTAGTCTATAGTCTAGTCTATAGTCTAGTTTATAGTCTAGTCTATAGTCTAGTCTATAGTCTAGTCTATAGTCTAGTCTAGTCTAGTCTATAGTCTTGTCTATAGTCTAGTCTATAGTCTAGTCTATAGTCTTGCCTATAGTCTAGTCCATAGTCTAGTCTATAGTCTAGTCTATAGTCTAGTCTATAGTCTAGTCTATAGTCTAGTCTATAGTCTAGTCTATAGTCTAGTCTATAGTCTAGTCTATAGTCTAGTCTATAGTCTAGTCTATAGTCTAGTCTATATTCTAGTCTATAGTATTGTCTATAGTCTAGTTTATAGTGTAGTCTATAGTGTAGTCTATAGTGTAGTCTATAGTCTAGTCTACAGTCTAGTCTATAGTCTAGTCTATAGTCTAGTCTATAGTCTAGTCTAGTCTAGTCTATAGTCTAGTCTAGTCTATAGTCTAGTCTAAAGTCTAGTCTAAAGTCTTGTCTATAGTCTAGTCTATAGTGTAGTCTGTAGTCTTGTCTATAGTCTAGTCTATAGTCCAGTATATAGACAAGTCTATAGGCTAGTTTATAGTTTAGTCTATAGTCTAGTCCTTAGTCTAGTCTATATTCTAGTCTATATTCTCGTCTATAGTCTCGTCTATAGTCTAGTCTATAGTCTAGTCTATAGTCTAGTCTATAGTCTAGTCTATAGTCTAGTCTATAGTCTAGTCTATAGTCTAGTCTATAGTCTAGTCTATAGTCTAGTCTATAGTCTAGTCTATAGTCTAGTCTATAGTCTAGTCTATAGTCTAGTCTATAGTCTAGTCTATAGTCTAGTCTATAGTCTAGTCTATAGTCTAGTCTATAGTCTAGTCTATAGTCTAGTCTATAGTCTAGTCTATAGTCTAGTCTATAGTCTAGTCTATAGTCTAGTCTATAGTCTAGTCTATAGTCTATAGTCTAGTCTATAGTCTAGTCTATAGTCTAGTCTATAGTCTAGTCTATAGTCTAGTCTATAGTCTAGTCTATCTAGTCTATAGTCTAGTCTATAGTCTAGTCTATAGTCTAGTCTCTATAGTCTAGTCTATAGTCTAGTCTATAGTCTAGTCTATAGTCTAGTCTATAGTCTATATAGTCTAGTCTATAGTCTAGTATAGTCTAGTATAGTCTATAGTCTAGTCTATAGTCTAGTCTATAGTCTAGTCTATAGTAGTCTATAGTCTAGTCTATAGTCTAGTATATAGTCTAGTCTATAGTCTAGTCTATAGTCTAGTCTATAGTCTAGTCTATAGTCTAGTCTATAGTCTAGTCTATAGTCTAGTCTATAGTAGTCTATAGTCTAGTCTATAGTCTAGTCTATAGTCTAGTCTCTAGTCTAGTCTATAGTCTAGTCTATAGTCTAGTCTATAGTCTAGTCTAATAGTCTAGTCTATAGTCTAGTCTATAGTCTAGTCTATAATCTAGTCTATAGTGTAGTCTTTAGTCTAGTCTTTAGTCTAGTCTATAGTCTAGTCTATAGTCTAGTCTATAGTCTAGTCTATAGTCTAGTCTATAGTCTAGTCTATAGTCTAGTCTATAGTCTAGTCTATAGTCTAGTCTATAGTCTAGTCTATAGTCTAGTCTATAGTCTAGTCTATAGTCTAGTCTATAGTCTAGTCTATAGTCTAGTCTATAGTCTAGTCTATAGTCTAGTCTATAGTCTAGTCTATAGTCTAGTCTATAGTCTAGTCTATAGTCTAGTCTATAGTCTAGTCTATAGTCTAGTCTATAGTCTAGTCTATAGTCTAGTCTATAGTCTAGTCTATAGTCTAGTCTATAGTCTAGTCTATAGTCTAGTCTATAGTCTAGTCTATAGTCTAGTCTATAGTCTAGTCTATAGTCTAGTCTATAGTCTAGTCTATAGTCTAGTCTATAGTCTAGTCTATAGTCTAGTCTATAGTCTAGTCTATAGTCTAGTCTAGTCTAGTCTATAGTCTAGTCTATAGTCTAGTCTATAGTCTAGTCTATAGTCTAGTCTATAGTCTAGTCTATAGTCTAGTCTATAGTCTAGTCTATAGTCTAGTCTATAGTCTAGTCTATAGTCTAGTCTATAGTCTAGTCTATAGTCTAGTCTATAGTCTAGTCTATAGTCTAGTCTATAGTCTAGTCTATATCTAGTCTATAGTCTATCTAGTCTATAGTCTTCTAGTCTCGTCTATAGTCTAGTTTTAGTAGTCTAGTCTATAGTCTAGTCTATAGTCTAGTCTATAGTCTAGTCTATAGTCTAGTCTATAGTCTAGTCTATAGTCTAGTCTATAGTCTAGTCTATAGTCTAGTCTATAGTCTAGTCTATAGTCTAGTCTATAGTCTAGTCTATAGTCTAGTCTATAGTCTAGTCTATGTCTAGTCTATAGTCTAGTCTATAGTCTAGTCTATAGTCTAGTCTATAGCTCTAGTCTATAGTCTAGTCTATAGTCTAGTCTATAGTCTAGTCTATAGTCTAGTCTATAGTCTAGTCTATAGTCTAGTCTATAGTCTAGTCTATAGTCCTAGTCCTATAGTCTAGTCTATAGTCTAGTCTATAGTCTAGTCTATTGTCTAGTCTATAGTATAGTCTAGTCTATAGTCTTGTCTATAGTCTAGTTTATAGTGTAGTCTATAGTCTTGTCTATAGTCTAGTCTATAGTCTAGTATATAGTCTAGTCTATAGTCTTGTCTATAGTCTAGTCTATAGTGTAGTCTGTAGTCTTGTCTATAGTCTAGTATATAGTCTAGTCTATAGTCTAGTCTATTGTCTAGTCTATAGTATAGTCTTGTCTATAGTCTAGTTTATAGTCTAGTCTATAGTGTAGTCTATAGTCTAGTCTATAGTCTAGTCTATAGTCTAGTCTATAGTCTAGTCTATAGTCTAGTCTATAGTCTAGTCTATAGTCTAGTCTATAGTCTAGTCTATAGTCTAGTCTAGTCTAGTCTATAGTCTATAGTCTAGTCTATAGTCTAGTATATAGTCTAGTCTATAGTCTTGTCTATAGTCTAGTCTATAGTGTAGTCTGTAGTCTTGTCTATAGTCTAGTATATAGACAAGTCTATAGGCTAGTCTATAGTTTAGTCTATAGTCTAGTCCTTAGTCTAGTCTATATTCTCGTCTATAGTCTAGTCTATAGTCTAGTATTATTGAAATTTAATTTTGACTATAACGATTTTAAAGTTTAGATATTTTTACTTTTTAACTATAAATTATGTGAAACCTTTTTTCTTCACAGGATAAACTTTTGGATACATTCGGTTATTATTAAACTAATACCCTGTTGCATATTAACCATTATCAGTTTTATACTAGTGAGGGTGCTATGTGAGGCTTCAAAACGAAAACAAAAACTCAAGGAATACAGTAATCCCAATAAGGATACACAGCAACCGTGTCTACAAAAATCCAGGTAAATTATAATTTATAATAACTGGTCCACTCCAAAAACCTTACTAGAAAAGCTAATATTAACCTCTTACTCTTTACGATATTTCATTGCACGTTTACATATATAGACCACCCAAATGCGATCGTCGTACCGATCGTACCACCATGCTCTTAGTTGCTGTACTTATACTCTTTCTCCTAACCGAATTTCCCCAAGGTATTTTGGGTTTAATGTCGGGTGTTATGGAGAAATGTTTCTTCAACGCCTGCTATCCGCCATTTGGTGAATTGATGGATTTGTTGGCACTAATAAATGCTGCTATCGATTTTGTACTCTACGGCTTGATGTCGAAACAATTTCGCACCACATTTAAGTCATTATTTTTCAAAAGACACTTTGGTAGTATTGAACTAACAAGGACTACACGACTAACAACTACATGTGTATGATTTTTTTTCCGCTAGAAACAATGTCAACACCCCCACTATGGCCCAAATGACACACTTAACAGTGGAGAAGATGACTATTAACCCGACTACGTCTGCCGTTGTCACAACGATGGGAACAACAAGAACAGAAGTAGTTACTACTAGTTTCCATTAAGTTAGATATGTATGTATATAAGAGTGTGATATATTTATTTGTTTACTTTTTTATAGAAAAGATAAAAAAAAATTATTATAAAGTAAGTATTTTCAAGGTGGACTTAAAGGTTTCTGACTATAGAAATGTTTTCATATGTCAGATTTTCATTGGCCTGCAAATTTGTCAATATCTTTGACTATTTAAACTTTAAGGATTTTGAATAAATCGTTCTTTGGTGGGAAATAAAATGTTATACTTTTTGCCTTAGGGCCTCTAGTTTAGCCAGAAAGTGGATTTTTATATTGTCTCTACTTTGGTGGGAAATAAAATATGATCACAGATTTTAAGCCTTTTTTCCCTAGGGCTTCCACTTTAACCAGAAAATGTTTTCACCCAAAAATGGACTATTCGTTAATCTAGTCTATGGAAATGTCAAACTATAAACTATTTTATAGTCTATAAACTATTTTATAGTTTAGTATGGACTAGTCAATAAACTAGTCTAAGGAACAGTCCATGGACTAATCTATAAACTATTCTATGGACTTGTCTAATGAGCAGTGTATAAACTAGTCTATGGTCTAGTCTAGTCTGTACAAGTCTAAAAGTAGTCTACAAACTAGTCGAAAGACTAGTCTATGGTCTAGTCTAGAAACTAAGTTTATAGACTAGTCTAATTATCAGTCTACGGACTAGTCTATAAAGTAGTAAATGGACTAATATATAAACTAAAGACTAGTCCAAGGGCTATTGTATAAACTAGTCTTTGGTCTAGTCCAATGCCTAGTCTATGGACTAGTCTAGAAACTAGTCAATAGACTCGTCTAAAAACTAATCTATAGACTAGGGTATAAACTAGTCTATGGACAAGTATATAAATTACTAATCAATGAAGTAGACTATGGCTTAATCTATAGACTAGTCTAATTACCAGCCTACGGACTAGTCTATAAAGTAGTAAATGCACTAATGTATAAACTAGTCTATGTACTAGTCTATAATCTAGTCGACAAACTAGTCAATGGACTAGTCTATGGTCTAGTCCAATAACTAGTCTATGATCTAATCCAATGACTAGTCTAAGGACTAGTCTAGAAACTAGTCAATAGACTAATCTATAGAGTAGGGTATAAACTAGTCTATGGACAAGTCTATAAACTAGTCTATGGACAAGTCTACAAACTAGTCTACAAACCAGTCAATGGACTGTCTATGAACTAGTTTATAGACTATAGCTTAGCCTATAGACTAGTCTAAGGACCAGCCTACGGACTGGTCTATAAACTTTTCTATGGACTAGTATATATTCTAGTCCACAAACTAGTCAATGGACTAGTCTATGATCTAATCCAATGACTAGTCTAAGGACCAGTCTATAAACTAGTCTATGGACTAGTGTATAAACTAGTCTACAAACTAGTCAATGGACTTGTCTAAGGACTAGTGCATAAATTAGTCTATGATCTAGTCGAAATACTAGTCTAAGGACCAGTCTATGAACTAGTCTATAAAATAAATCGAATAGTGTATAAATAAATCTATGAACTAGTCTATAAACAAGTTAATGGGCTAGTATATACAAGTCTACAAACTAATATTTGGTCTAGTCCAAGGACTAGTCTATAAACTAGTCTTCGGACTAATCTATTAACTAGTCAATGGACTAGTGTATAAAGTAGTCTATAGTATAGTCTAATCTATGGACTAGTCTGAGGACTAATCTCTAAACTGGTCTATAAACCAGTCAATGCACTAGTCTATAAACTAGTCAATGTACTAGTCTAAGGACTAATCTATAGATTAGTGTATAATCTGTTCTATTGTCTGGTTTGGGAACTAGTCTATGGACAATTCTCCAAACTATGAACTGGTCGACGAACTTGTCAATGGACTAGTCTAAAGACTAATCTATGGTTTATCCTAAGGGCTAGTCTAAGGTCTAATATATGGACTAGTCTATGACCTTACTTATTGTCTCGTTTGAGAACTAGTTTGTGGATTAGTCTATGGACAAGACTGTAGAACTTCTATATATACAAGTCTGCAGACTAGCCTATGGATCAATCTTTTGACTAGTCTATTAACTAGTCCCAGATTTTACTATCAATCCCATTAGTATACATATTCTATATACTACTGGCACTAGTTTAATTAAATATTCTCATTCCGATACAATTAAATATTGAAGATAAATAAAATTGATAAAAATGTAGTTAACATTCGGTCAGAGACCTTTTAAACCATAATGAAAAAGAAAACACAAAAATACTAAATATTTATGAGAACAATATTATGTAAATTTAATTAAATTATAATGAAACCATAAGTATGTATGTATATAATAAGCATAAATATGTTTATATAATTATTTTTTAAATAAAATAACTTTATATGAAACATAAATAAAAATACTATATGTTAATAATTGTTAAAGAATATTTGTGTCCATATTAAAGTAGAATAATAAATTAATTAATCATTAATAAAATTACCAGGAAAATTATAATTAAATTGTGATTTTAAGCAAAAGTTGTGGAAGGAATTACAATGAATTTTTATGATAGCAAATAATGAAATTAAGAAAAACAGAAAATTTATTTATAAATTTATAACATGTTTTTGTTTTAATTCAATTAAATATTTTCATTAGAAATCCCTATATACATATACATATGTATATTAGGGTGCTTTTGTTTTAAAAGGATAACTTAATAAAATTAAATAATTAAACAAAAGAGCTTCTAAAACTTGGCATAAAATAGTTTAAGTTTAAAGTAAAAAAAAATTAAATAAAATTGTTAAAAACTATTTTAGGTAGTATATAACCTAATTAGTACAACCTTAAATACTTAAAAATTAAAAAAAATACATTTTTTTTTAATTTATTTAAAAAATAAATAGAAAAAAAAATACAAGCAAGTGCCATTAAAAAGAAATATAATTTAAAATGTACATAAATTAAAAGTATTTTAAATACAACTTAAATAAATAAATTTCTAAATAAATTTTTATAATGAAATACCAATGAAAGTTAAGTTAATTAAATTAAATTGAAAAAATCACAAAAAAAAAATCACAAAAACAAATTGACAACTGCTAAATTGACAAAATATATAATGTTCTTTTATGAGCCCCGTAAAGAACTTAGGAAACATCTACAAAAACTGTTTAACAATTGTCAATTTAAGAAGATCTATTTTAAGAAAATCTTACAAAATTATATTATAAGAACTGTTCAATAACCATTTACTTAGTTAGAGAACAGAGCTTAGGTAAATAATATAACAGTCCAAAACATTTTTCTGAAATACAATTGATAAAACTACTGACATATTTAAATGTGCAAAATATTCTTTAAATATCTAATAAATGTTGTTACATTAAATAAAAAAAAAACTGAAAAGAAAGACTTTCATTTGAGGCTCCTTAAATGCAACGGAGTGGTAAATCTGTATTATAATTTGGAATCAGCTAATGTCACTGTAATCATAAGTAGGTAAGTATATATACAAACACATAACCTATACGCTATATCGTTGGGATGTTACATCCCTTATACTTAAACAATATATAAGGTAGATAAACCCTATCAAAAATCGATATTAATATAAACAAATAAGGGAGTTATACTCGGCTATGCTGCAACTAATGAAAATCATATCAGACTTTTCAATATAACTTCTGGATATATAAAACTAACTTGTGCAATATGTCACCACGTTTTCTATATAAGTAAAAATCATATTAATGACTTTTTAACTCTATTCCGGGAGGTAATACTAATATGGGACGGGCATGTTTGGATCTTATAGTACTTATAACAGACTGAAGAATATGGCTAAATTACCTTGAAATCTAACAAATACCCAAAATATAAATAGTTTATAGAATAGTCCAAATGCTGGTCCATAGACCAACACATAGACTAGTCAAAAGACTGATCAATTGATATCAATAAAATAGTCCATAGATCTATCATTAAACTAATTCATTAAACAACTAGTCTATGGACTAGCCCATAGACTAGTCAATAAAGTAGTCTATAAACTAATCAACAAAACTCCATAGACTAGTCTAAAGACTAACATGGACTTGTCAGTAGATTAATCACTAGACTAGTACATCTGCTAGTCAAAAACTTTGCTAATAGTCAATGGACTAGTTCATAAAGTGAATAGACCATTCAAGAGACTTGTCCATAAACTAAATAGTCATTAAGTAGTCAATAGACTTATCCATATACTAGTCCATAAACTAGATAATAGAATAGTCAACAGACTCGTCCACTAAGTGGTAAATAGACTAGTTCTTAGACTAATCAATAGAATAGTGCATACACTAGCCAATAGATCAGTCAACTGACTAGTCTAGTAAGTAGTCAATAGACTTGTCAAGAACAAATAGTCTATAGAAAAATAGAATAAATAGTCAGTAGGCAAGTCCATAGACCAGTCAACAGACTAGGAAGCAGTCTAGTCCATAAACTAGCAAATAGATTAGTTAATAGACTAGCCCATTAAGTAGTGAATACACTAGTCCATACAGAACAGACCATTACAGAGACTAGTCTATAGAACAAATAGTCAATAGACTAGTCCATAGACCAGTCAACAGGCAAGTCCATAAACTAGATAATCGACTAGCCAATCGATTAGTCAACAGACTAGTGCATTAAGTAGTCAATAGACTAGTCCATAGACTAGTGAACAGACTAGTTCATAGACTAAGCAGTCAATACACTAGACCATAGAGTAAGTAGTCAATAGACCAGTCAACAGACTAGTCCATAAACAAGACAATAGACTAGTAAGCAGGCTAGTCCATAAACAAGTCAATCGATAAGTCAACAAACTAGTCCATTAAGTGAAAAATAGAATAGTCCATAGACTAGTAAACAGCCTATTCAAGAGACTAGTCCATAGCCTAAGTAGTCAATAAACTAGTCCATAGACGAGTCAACAAAATAGTCCATTAACTAGCCAATAGACTAGTAAGCAGACTAGTCCATAAACTAGCCAATAGATTAGACAACAGACTAGTCCATGAAGTAGTCAACAACAACTAGTACGTAGACTGGTGAACAGACTATTCAGGAGACTTGTTCATAGACAAAGTAGTAAATAGACTAGTTCATAGACTAAGTAATCCATAGACCAGTCAACAGACTAGTCCATAAACTATACAATATACTAGTAAGCAGACTAGTCCATAAACTAGCCAATCGATAAGTCAACAAACTAGTCCATTAAGTAAAAAATAGAATAGTCCATAGACTAGTAAACATACTATTTAAGAGACTAGTATATAGACTAAATAGTCAATGGACTAGTACATAAACCAGTCAACAGCCTAGTCCATAAACTAGACAATAGATTAGTAAGCCAACTAGTCCACAAACTACTCAATAGATTAAACAACAGAATAGTCCATTAATTAATCAACAACAACTAGTCCATAGACTGATGAACAGACTATTCAAGAGACTGGTCCATAGACAATATACTTACTAAGTAGTCAATAGTCTAGTCCATAGACCAGTCAACAGAATAGTCCGTAAACCGGCCAATAGACTATTCATTGGACTAGTCCATAAACTAGCCAATAAATTACTCAACAGAATAGTACATTAAGTAAGTAGTTAATAAACTAGTCCACAGACTAAACAACACCAATTAGTGAATAGTCTATTCAAGATACTTGTCCATAGACTAAATGGTCTCTTTATAGTCAATAGACTAGTCCACAGACCAGTCAACAGACTTGTTCATAATCTAATCAATATACTAGTCAGCAGACCAGTCCATAAACTAGCCAATAGATTACTCAACAGACTAGTCTATTAAGTAGACAACAGACTAGTCAACTCCAACTTGAAATAAAATTGTTATTGTATCTCTATGGAAAAAGTACCAAAAAGGTATTTTATTCAAACCCCATTAGACAATATTTGGAACATTTTCATTCTCATTGGTACACAAATGCAAAATCCTAGAGAGTTTTTTTCAATGATAACAAATTATAATA